CTACAGTTGATTTAGTCAACTAAAATTAAAAGTGTAAAGTGTAATGTTTAAAGTTTCCCTTAAATTTGATGTCAGAAAGTCATTATGTTCACCATTATGTTCACATGTATTTATTTACCCGGAAACTGAGTACTGTAAAATCAGTAGTGCCATTAGTGCAAAAATAAAATCACTTCAAAGTGCATAGGTAATAATGCCACCAGGCCTGCTCTCTCTGGATATTAAAATAAAAATATTAAAATAAATATTTGTAGGCGTAGTTTAATAGTGATTTCATGTTCGTTGAAGTTTCCGCTTTTTAACAACTGTATGAAGTAATGTTTGTTATAAAAATCAACTCAGGTGAAACAAAAAATGTACGTTTTCATGGCTGCCAAATCTCAAGAATCTGGCATGACACATGATAAACGTCCAAAGTGTATTTACACGGTTAAATACAGAAGCAGACTATTTGCAAGGTAAGAACTGTTTCATTTGTGTCCAGACATTTCAAATTGAAAATCTCACTCTGGCCAGCTGCCCGTAGGTGGCAACCCCGCGTTTTATTTGAAATAAAAATTAAAATGCGCTGTTTTCGCTTGAAACGGCTTGTCATTCCGTTTGCGTTGTTACTCCGACAAATATAAAGCTAATATGAGAAAAACACGTCACGTTTTATATCTTTTCGAAATAATAAGACCGTCCATATATCCTACTCTAACAGCGATTAAAGTGATAAGTTCGTATGTATTTATATTAAAATGAGACTTTAATTTTATTACCGGTGTGGTATTATAGAAAACCAATACTTAAATACATGATCACTAAAATATATGACATAGACACGACTGTATTAGGGTTTTACGGCTTGAGTTAAGCACTTTATTTAAACATGCACAATTATCACATTTTATTTATTTTCTCTTATTTTGAAATGCAGCCCTACCTATTTAGTAGATGTTGATACAAATAATAGACTACTTAAATATATGTCACACTAAATAGTTAGACATTATGATCTAATGGACCTTTGCTTTAGGAAATTTTCTCTAACTTTTCTCTACGGTAGTTCCAATTGTATCTCGTCTCTGGCAAACATTTTCGTCTCGTTTTTATTCTCTTACGAAATTGTCAGTACACTTCGTCATAGTCTTAGGCGTCGTTTCGTTTTAGTATGAAAATGAAGGTCGTTGACGATATCTGACGAAAAAATTTCGTGAACAAAATTAAACACTGCTTGAGAAGATATGTCACGATTCATTAATGATGAATAAACATGATCAGTATTTCACTTTTGTTATTCATGACTTGTTCCTTCAGCAGTTCACAAAGGTTTGCAGAAATAGACAGATACAGTGACAAATATAGTAACTGCTTGATTAAATATGCATTATGATTTATTAATGATGAATTAACATGAGATCAGTATGTAACTAAGACTTAGTTTGTGGTTAATTAATACATAAGTAATAGTATATAATACTATATTTGTGCACTGTCAAGTAAAGTATTACCACTTTGGAGAATACTTGTAATATATTTTACAGCCAGAGTTAAGCCTCTAATTGCCGCTATTAATATTAATAACTATAACCATCTCTGTAGAGCAGATGGCTTTTAAAAATTTATCTGTGTTGTTTGAAGCCCACTGCTATTAACGTTTGTAGAGCTTACTGCTCTGTTTGAGCATCTGCCTCGCCAAGTTTTTATGAATTACCTTGTGGTTTGACGGATAATTTGCTGTCTGGCAGTGAACGGTTTTGTAGCAAAGTGGTGAATGTCATTCACAACGTATGCCTGCTCTGAAGGCTAGTGCAGTGCTCCACTTCGGTATCTGAAAATAACATTTGGCCTGATTTTGAAATGGAATAAACATACGGTGTTGTGAAAAAAGAGCGCATCAGCCTCTCATTACAAGTCTAGCTAACTTATCCACTTACGTGTTCACCTGTTAGTTACCTAATTGACCGAACAAACAAATCTCCTGATTCTCAATTTTTGGAAAATCTCTGACGTTTATTGAACCTATTTGTATTCTGCATATTATGTCCTGTAAACGGTATATTAAATTACACAGAAAACATAAGAAATGCATAGAAAATAAACCCTTTCTGTATTAATAGCACATATGATTCACTCGCGCTTATATACTCAGTGACAAAAAAATGTCAAGCACCAAGAATTAACGGTTCGATTCGGATGTAATTTGGCGCACGTGCAGACCAGAGATGGGTATGTAAATGATTAAATTTGCAAGAAGCTGGGATGTATAGTCAGCGGACACAGAGGATGCCTCCTGGGTGCATTAGACAGCACTACCAGCACATGAGGGAGTTTGATTGGGGTCACATTGTGGGTTTGCATGAGCCATTACAGAACCCCATGACATCTGCGTCTGCCATCCAGACACAAGTACTGGACTCTCTGCAACACCCCGTGTCATCCTGCACCGTATCTCATCGACTGGCATCATCCAGACTATGGGTTCACCGTCCCATACTTAGGCTGCTGTTAACACCAGCGCAGAGACGACTGCGTTTGGAGTGGAGTGGTAACCAGGAGACATGGACTGATGACGAGTGCCGTCGTATCATGTTCAGCGATGACTCCGGGTTCTGCATTACCATGGATGACCGTCATGTGTGTGCATATGGCCGCGCCAAGGGAAGAGGCCAAATCCTGCCAATGTTGTGGAGCGACACACCTACGTTACTCCTGGCATCATGGTGTGGGGAGCCATAGAGTATGACATCATGGTATGAGGAGCCATAGGGTATGACATCATGGTGTGAGGAGCCATAGGGTATGACATCATGGTGTGGGGAGCCATAGGGTATGACATCATGGTGTGGGGAACCATAGGGTATGACATCATGGTGTGGGGAGCCATAGGGTATGACATCATGGTGTGGGAAGCCATAGGGTATGACTTCAGATCATCTCTGTCAGTGATTCGGGGGACCCTGACAGCACAGCACTACGTCAGTGACATCCTGCATCCGCATGTCTCCTCCTGAGACGGCACCCTGGTACAGTCTTTCACCCAGACAACGCCCGTCCACACACAGCATGCGTGTCTACTGCCTGCGTCATGTTGAGGTCCTCCCATGGCCAGCCAGGTCCCCCCATCTTTCCCCAATCTAACATGTGTGGGATCAGCTCAGACGTCAACTCAGACCCAGTGCCAATCTGCAGGGTCTCGAGGGCCAGTTACAACAGCTGTGGGCTGACTTGCTGCAGGAGAGGATACAATGGCTGTACCACTCCCTACTGCACCTTATCACCGCGTGTATCCAGCTCGGGGGGATGGGGGTTGTCACATCATACTGACATGGGACCTGCAGTATGCCCATACAAAAAAAAAAAAGTCACTGAGTATAATTAATAGTTAATTAATCAATGAGATTAAAATGTATGCCAGATCTTTAAATTGCATATTCTGTCACATGATTTTAACATCATTTAACATCATCTCAACCTAATGTAATAATTTAAGTCAGGTGGACCTTATGTCAAAACTAATAAGAAACTGAGTATTCCAGAAAATAACTGAAACTTTCCTCTGTCTCTAGGGAAGGGCAGAAATCACAAGTGATTGGTTCTATTTATGGCTAAACATGCACAAATAAATTAGCCCTGAGACTAATTACTTAAGTTAATAAACTTAAGTGAACCTAAAAAGATGATTCTCCCCTGAGCCAGGAAACATATCTTGTCAATATGACAATATCAGAGCATCAAAGCACTGGTAAATTATGAAAGTGGGCCCTTCCAGTAGGTTTTAAACTCACTAACTGGCCAGTGTCACAATCAAGCACATCTTCTTCTGGAGAAAAAGGTGGCCACTGTGTGGTGACAAAAGCAGAGATCTGATGGAAGACGACACATGCGGGGGATAGTTTAGCAGATTGAGTGTCCTGTGCATTACAGCAGCTGAACTAGCAATACCACAGAATATAGAGCTGCAAAGAAAGCCAGATGGAGCTCTTTAATATTGGACAAAAGATTTACTAAGAAAGACAGAATGGCGATGATCAATAGGGAACAGTAAACAGATTCTTATGTCGATGGTATTTCACTTGACGGGAGAATGAGAAAGAACATCACTGAATCCCAAAAGGTTGGGATGCTAAACCTAACAATGTGACTCAGGGATTAAAATAGAAAACATAAGTTTGTTCAGGAAAGGGACTGGTTTGAAACAATGCAAACAGGAAACGTACAAAAGCCCCCATTTTGGAAGTTTGTCACAAATTCTCTCAGAGCGGGGAATACTTGAGTGTGATATGAAAAGCCTTGTGGTTGCCAGCCCAATCCCCCCCCCACCAAACATGAGAAAGAATGACAGATGCAACAAATCAATAACAAAGACTAACGGGTGCGACAAATGAATAGAATTGATCCTGTTTCATCACAGACTCAGGCACCATGCCTCCCAGTAATCTTCCCTTACCAGTGAGTTATCAATTATTTAGAAAGAGGGCCTAACAAAAAGTATGTGTGTGGGCCTGATTAGACCCTGAAAAACTCCACCGGTGCAGAAGGTGAATCTTCCTGGCCCATAGCCTGCTAATCATCTGCTTAAGAGTGGCCGTGGACTGATTGTAGCTAAAGCCAGGCTTTCATTTTACAAAGACTTTCACCACTCCTTCAATCAATATTGTCAAGAAAAGTCACATTCTGCCAGAATTCTTTCCCAATTTCCCCATTTTCACAATGATGAGCAAACTTGCAGTGGACAGTGATACTGAACTACAGGACATGCTTGGTATTTGCACTCATAGAGCAGGAACCCACAGTATGACCAGCATATGAGAATAACAGATGCTATGAAAGCAGTAATTGTCACAATACTGATACCCAGAACTTTAAGTAATATCTGTATGGTTGTCACCCTGTCCCCCGCTGCCCTGGTTAGGTCAGGGTAAGAGGCAAGCTGGACTGATTCTGGCACTGGACAGCATCTTCTCCCAGTATTCTTTACTGAAACGGTGACTGAAACTTAATCAGACACTGTCACATCAAAGTAATCAATCTTTTATTGTGTTAGTAACTTTGTTACTACAATGCTGAGGGAATTCCTTTCAGCAACAGCTAGACACAAATATACATATTCAGTCACAATTAGCGAATAATCATACAATAATTTTGCTTGTCAATGGACTGTACTATACAAAATTTAAATGGATGTAGGACAGTTTTGAAAGTGTGTTTCTCCACTTGGTGAAATGCAAAGGGAGAGTATAAGGATGACCATAGATTAGAAATCCTGTTGTTACATTCTCCTGTTTGTTACTGTTACATTAATTTTTAATAGGAATTGATTGCATAATTCTGATGGGCTCCCAACAAGTTGAACAAAAGACAAAGGTAATTAAAGAGAAATATTGTTAAATAACAATATCTTTCATGGGTAATCATCAGTAGAACTGAGGTTTGTCCCACTCCTCTTGAAACTCTGCCAAATAAAAAAAAATATATTTTATGATTATTAATTAAAGAAACTGTAGACTCACATAGTATGTTATATTAATGATCCTTCAAAATTTATAATTATGAAAACAGAGTCATTAGATATCGTTTGCTTGATCTTCCATAAATCGAGTACTGGAAAAACTGAGTAGGATTTCTTCAAAAAGAAGTTGCATCCCTTGTTATCTGAAAGAGAAATCCGGATTCTACCTCCACTGGATGATCTCCTTCCCATAAGGCCAACAAACATCTCTCCTTTATTTCCTGTCGGAAGAGTAATTTGAAAAATGCATTCATGCAGTACAACATGCTTGCTGTTGAAGCAAAAAGTTCAGTATATTTAATAATATTTTTGACATATTTCAACATTTTTTAAACTTTCATTTTAATAATACTTTTTTTCATAAGTACCATGACTAATTAGAGTGCTGCTAATTATTTAAATTACCATTAATGAATGATGTGCAATCTGGGCTTTGTGTCAAAAAATGTTTTTTGGAATAGATTTTATTACCGCTGTAATTTAGCACACTGTCACACGTCCTTCGTAACTCGACAGCAGAACTCTAGGTTGTAATATGCAAGCACCACTTGAGTTGTGCGTAATATTAATCTTCTTAAATTAAAGTTAATTATGAGTATAATTATTTATCTACTGAATACTTTGTAGATACACTGTGTTACTTCATTGGAGAGGGAACATGTTGCTTGACTACTTGGTCACTAAGCTTAGTTACCAAAGCCATTCTTAAATGACCAACACAAATAAAATAAAATTTCAGTTATTCTACACAAAAAAGATAATATAAGGAATATGAACAATATAACATTAGTGTTAGAATTACTGAACCCAACAATTTGACTTGTTTTGAATTCTTAAAATATGATTCATGTTTATACATATTAACACATTTGTCCATGTAATTTGGAGACTGGATTGAGGTCATTTAAATCATTAAATGTAGCAGAACATGCCCCTATACATGGTCTATGGAAAATGCTTCATGTCACAAGCAAGATGAGTGATCGATAAAGTCGAGACAAATGATGGTGCAAGAGTCTCATGGTGACGGCAGCTTGGTAACTGACTGGTCCAGTATGCATACTTTTGGGTTTCAAAAATAATTTATTATCAAGTATTTGTGAAAGTGGCATTTAGATTTTACAGTAAAACTAGTTAAACAGCTGAATTAAACTTACTTTTTCGACCTTGACGTGCAGGTAGTTGGATGCCTACAAAGAAGGTTTTGTTTTTCATCAGTTCAATTAATATTTAAGGTAACCTACACATCTACACTTAAGTATTCACTAGAGCACACTGACATTCATATTGCTATTATCACTACTTTGCAAGACAAATTAGAACTAACAAACTAAAACATGCACCAAACAACAGTTTTATATTTGACAAGATAGGATAGCTTGGTGTTCCTTAGAAGATGCAGTAGCAATGTAGGAAATTTTACAAAATTTTAACTCCAGCAGTCACACATGTGAACGCAGTTATGGTGCACATTGCATGCTATCATGAAGTAGCCTATGCATGAAAGAGACTGAAGGATTCATGGTGAACCAAGTATCAGAAGCTGTGAGGAGGAAAATGTGCCGTGTTCCTCTTAATGTTCAATTAAATTTATATCTCCCAAAATGAAGCGTGCATATTAATAATATTGATGAGGATGATGTCGTCTGTCCTAAACCACTGCAGTCATTAATAATCATGCATAAAACAGTCGGTCAGTATGGTGGTTACTCATCTCATATGTAGAGATTGTTTTCCCTACATTCTAGGTCTGATATTTTCCCATTGTAAGACAGACTTGGGAATCACCTTTATTTTTTTCTGATATTGAGAAAGCAGTGTATACACACACACACACACACACACACCCACTCACACATGTAGGGTAAATTTACCTAAATTTACTTCTGGATAAATAAAGTATCTCTATCTCTATCAATCTATAAACATATCTTTGGGTCATTCATTTCTATGGGAAAACTGCTAACGCTAACCGTGACAACCTTAACCCCTAACCAGCCCTAACCATAACCATAAACAACCAAGCAAGTTTTTGCATTTTTAGTTTTTTTCATAGCAGTCATAGATTTTTATTAAAGGTAACTGGTCCCTATAAGGGAAAAAAAACGGGTATTCATCATGTTGTGGGGACATTGTGTCCCCATAAAGTAAGGTATACCCGCTCACACACGCGCGCACACACACACACACACACACACACCACTACATGTATTCAAAGACAAAAAGTAAACAAAGTGATACTCTTCAATGAAAATGCACAAGTAGGCTATTTAATCTTATTTTCATTTTAAATCGGATTTGCACAAATGATTCTTACTTTGGTATATTGGTATACTGGACTGTACGCAAAATGAACATCAAAACATATGTGCCAAATTTTGAAGAGCATTTAATAAGACGACTACATGATACCAACTACAGGTAATGCCTCCATCTGCTTCCTGCGTGCAAGGAAATGTCGCGATACCTGACCGCCTGCCCATAAGGCCGTAGAACTGCTGCGATTTGGATCTTTTTATTAGGTCTGCCACTTTGCTGGTGAAGCTGTTCTCGGAAGGTTCAGTCTGCCACGAAGAAACACGAAGAGAAAGCACTTATTACTCATTGTGCACATATACAACAACAACAACATCAATAATAATAATAATCATTATTATTATCACTTTTAATAATAAATCAGTAAATGTTGGAAGGCCTGCGTTTGTTATATTGTTGTTTTTTTCCGTGTATCGCCCTAAGTAGGATTTTTTTTTGAGCAATCACTCCTTTCCGTTAAAGTTCAGAACCGCCCCGCCCCTCTCTCCGAGGTGCTGAAGCGATGGCACACAGAATCGAGCCCACCGCAAGCTTCCATCATAAACATACATTTAATACTGGCGCTGTTTGCAGAGAGGATGCGAAAAGCGCAGTTACCTGCCAGCTCTCCGCCAACCAGGACTCCTCGCCATCACTCACCGATGATCCCTGAACGTAATATACAACCGCAAAGACAACGGCAATCAAAGCCAGCAGTTTCCACGTTTCCATTTTGACTTCCCTTTTTCTAAAGCCCTAAAGAGAAAACTAGATTTTGATCTTTTAAAGAAAAATGCAAACGTGAACAACTCGCTGTACGTTCACACAATGTTACCCTATTCATACGCCCACCGCTGTGATGTTGGGATCCTTTCTCTACCTCGAGACCCAGTCGTACTTATAGAGGCGCAGCCCCAAGCCAGCCCCCTCCGCTAACGGTGATACACCTCCTCCCCCTTATCCCACAAAGGGAAATCGGTTCGGGACTTTTGAAAAGAAAATGATTAATGACAAAGCCGTTACACAAAACGTCCTAGTATTGTCCTAATTAACTTCACACCGATCAGGTGTTTCTTTCCACGTGTTTACGGACTTACAGAGACACTCAGCGTACAGTGTATCGATATACCGCGCTTCTGTCGCTTTTAGAAAAAAAACACATCTTTATTGAACTAAATTTTAGCTTCTTGTGTTTAATATTTTAGCGCTTAATACTAAGTTTTATTATTAACATTCTGAGAAAAACACGCAAACACATAGACATATACGACTGAAAGTTCCCAGAAATTGGTTTTCTGCCATTATTATTATGAAATTATTACAAGTTGATTTAGATTATTTTATTTATTTTAAATTATAAATGACTGTGTGGATGGAGGGACGGATTCCCCTTAGACGAAATAAATGTCACTGATGACATGTCCACCATCAAGATGGTTGAAACAGGTGTGTTATTTCTTGAATAGAATAATCTCTCTGCTTTGCATTTTTAGCTATACCAGAAGGTAAACGCCTTCGCCCTGCTGCTAGAGAAAGTGCCAGAGCTATGCTGACCGGGAACTCAGCTCCGCATAAACCCAAACTGACTCTTTTACTGGTACAATAACAAACTGCTTCACGGATGAACGTGTGGAATTATGTGCTCTGGTCCTCCATTCAATACCTCCCAGAATACAAATTTGTCAGAAAGGAAATGACATCGAAAGCAGCCAACCGAGGTGGTTTAGGTATCTGTCTAGGATGCCTCCTGGACGCCTTCCTGGGCAGATGCTTTGGGCATGTCCAACCTGGAGGAGACCCTGGGACAGACCCAGGACGTGCCGGAAACGCCTCAGGTGGCCCATAAATGCCTTGGTATCACTCTGGAGGAGCTGGAGGATCGAGGTGGCTTGGAGAGGGAAGTTTGGGCATCTCTGCTGGCCCTGTAAGCCCGACCCAGATGAGTGCTGAAGGATGGATGGACGGATGGACAGAAATGCAATTTGGGGGACACCTTTCATTTCGCACACTGACATCTACAGCCTTGAGATGCTTTGAAGGCTGAGAACCCCTTTGGCCTTCAGAAATTGCTCCTCCCTTTTCCCTCCACATCCATGCACTCCCCAAAATGTTGTCCAGCCCTATCTTCTGATAAATGATCCTAAATTCAGTTCGCTGTCAAACCCAGCGGCATCCTGTGGTGCTTATTGTTCCCTCCTGCATTCCTTTGGTACAGTATGTGTGCTTGGGCTGATTATGTAAAAACTGGGGCATCAAAGAAATAATCGAATCTTCTTGGAAAAGACATTACCGGAGTAATCAACTTCGTTTTTGCTAATGCAAACACGACATTAGAACAATTTGTGAAATACGACACATCATTTTGTGTTATTACATTTATTCTCTTAATTTTAATGTATTTGTTTCTTAGAAGCACTATTCACCACTTTTCTGTACAACACAGATTATTTCAGTCCTCCTCAGTTTTTCTACTATTTCAATTTCTATGTTTTGACTATAAAAACAGGCACATGTTTTACAGGTCTGCAGATATATAAGGTATTACCAATAGAGATGGTTTCCATACTAGATCATGCATTGATGTGTTTGTCTTGTCATTTTTGTAGGAAACACGGGAAGAGTAATGAAAGATTTTTACTAACGTGGACGCAGTCCGTGTGTTCCGACCAGGTGAGTAAACAGCGTGTAATCAGGCATATTTGTACTTTGAAGTGACAAGATAAAGGCGACAGCAAATAGGTTGGGGCATCCATTATTTCATTGTTATTTCATCCATTATTTCATTGTTATTTCATCCATTATTTCATTGTTAGCCATTTTGTTCCCTAATTTGGTTTATTTGATAACTTTATTTGAAACCAAAAGAATATCAAATGTATCTTACTGGCAAATATTTAAAAGAAATACCTAGTTTGTCTTTTATATGATGGTTGCAGAACCTCCCTGTGTTAATACCAATCTGACCCAGTTTGAGAATTGTCCTAAATGACAGTAAACATAACGACTTGGCTACTTAACATTACGGTGTTAATAATTTAATCTATTTTGTTCTTTATTATAACATGTTATGATCTGAAAAGCAGGACAATCCTACTACCATGCATTTCAGGTGAGAAAGGTGGGTATTAGATAAAAGATGGCTCTAAAACAGATTTAAAGCTTTTAATGTCCGTAGAACAAAATCTTGATGTAACCAAAAACTGAAAAAAAAAACTACTTATTATCAATATCTTGAATAATTCTGGTAATCAAATATACTTATCATGCTCCATCGATAGTATTTCAAGTACCAGATGATGCACTTATTTTCTCGGGGGGATTTCAGACAATGTAATGTTGTGAAGATACCCTATAGAAAAATAAATTGAATTGAAATAGCCACACCCTAGGTTGTACCAAACTTCCCGCCAGAAGCCTGAAGCCAGAACCCCTGCTACCCTGAATAGGACAAGCGGTTACAGAAAATGGATGGATGGATGGATGGATCAATTGAAATATCATGCTAATAAGCTAATCAACCTGCTTATATTGTGGCAGATTGTCAAGTATACTCTCAGATAAAAGGGTAAAAATTCGAACCGCTGCACCCTTGTAATTGTACCTTCTAAGGTACAGAAATGGACTCAGAGGAATTTCCCCAAGGTACAAACAGCATTAATGTACCATCAATGGTACAGAACCGTTCCTCAGAGTCCATTTCTGTACCTTAAAAGGTACAATTACCTACAGCTACAGAGAACAGTTGGCGGACCCTTGAGGGTACAGCCCCAGTGACAAGCAAACGTACAAATCATTACCCTTTTTTCTGAGAGTAGAGGTTTGCTACATGAGCCTGAAAGAATCATAGGACAACAGGGTTCAATAAAACTAAGGCGTTATTTAAAAAAGAATAAAAACAAAGGGAATGGAGCACTTTTAAATTGAAAATAAAAAATCCTTCAGGCTAAACCCCCTCTCACCACAATAGACTTCTCTTGTCCCAATTCTTGTTCAGAATTCACCCAGCTGATCCAGTTTATCTCAAGCACTGTGATAAGGGTCAGCTGGGATTCGTTAGCCGAAGGCATCTGGATCAATCCTCATCCCTTACTTTTCTTGCCATCAGACAATATCATAAACATGATAAGTGCTTTAACTGTAACCTATTTGATATCTGTGCAGTTCACACAGTGGCTATAAGATAGGATGCAGTCCATATCATACATAAAACCAATATAAGTAATGATCCTACAACAAGAAAGCCCGTCATACTGTATACTGTAGTTCACTGGACTACATCACAGGACATCCCATTTTTCCACTGGCAGTTCTGTAAATGACCGCCAGGTGGTGCAAAAAACACTTTTGCTACCACAACGACAAAATCAGATCAATTTGACTTCAATTTAATTAAATACAAGCCTAGTATATTTGTAGCACCTGTTTAGCTGTTTAACTACTTTCAAATATTGTTTATACTGATAGAGACTGTAACATGTCAGTACCTCAATACAGAGTAGCCTTCTAGACAGAATTGATGATGTTCAGTTACACTCTTAAATTTGTAAGATTTTTTAAAATGTTATTTTAGTAAAGTTAAATTGATTTAAACCCTAAATCATTCAAACCATATTTTAGAGGGAATTCAGGAATGTTATGAAATATTTGTTGCATTCATTTATCAATGTATATATTGACAGAAAACTTAGCTAACACACACACGTGTGTGTGTGTGAAAATAACCTGAGCATGTCAAAAAAAGCTGTACTTGTGTGGGTGTGGTGTTGTAACAACAGCAATAAACATCAGAACATAACAATACAACACAAACAACTAGGGTATATTTTGGCCTTTTAATGGTTTATACTGTAGTTTGCAGCAATACAATATAGATTTATTCATGAATATGTAAATTATAGAAATAAACAGACACACACACACACACACACACAGGTTTGTAATTATATCTTTTTGTGGACTCTCTATTCATTTCTCTGGGGAAAACTATAATCCCAACATGACGACCTTAACCCCTACCTAGCCAAGCCTTAAGTCTAGCCTTAACCATAAGTAACCAAACGAAGTATGAGACTTTTTTGATTGCATTCACAGATCTTTGTGGGGACCTGAAAAAATTGTCCCCACAATGTTAAAAGAAAACAGGTTTGTATTACATTTTGGGGTTCATTTTGCCCCCTCAATGTAATATAAACCTAATCCACACACATACACACACAATGTGCAAATTCACCAAACTACATTTTTAGACTGTGAAATGAAACCTTAGTGACTGGGGAAAGCATAACCTGCCTTTCTGCAAAGCCCTAGAAGGGGTTGGATTTAAGTAGCACTACTTACTGTGCTGCTTTCTGTGCTGCTAACTGTGCACCACACTGATACTCTGAGATGATCCGATCCTCTGCTTCCTGACCAAAGGGATGCACAGGAAACCTTTGCTTTGATTTTGTTCTTTTTAGCAAAGGCTGCAGATGGCCATGCTCCCTGCTACCCTGTCGTGAGCTTCACCTCCCATCAGCGCTCCTCAGTCAGATACACGTACCCCTGAACATGTTCTTATAGAACAAAGAATGTTTACAAACACCATACATTGGACTATTAAATAAGTTAACAGAATAAAGTACTGCAATCTCTAAAACTAGAAGTGTTTCCACAATTTTGGCTACTAATGTATTTCTGATTCTGTGTCAGCTGACACATTTACAATACAATACGGGTGACTTCCATAAGTTCATACTTGCATCCCAGATTAATCTGGTCTCCTGTGGCACAGGGGCCTGTGCATGTGTAAACTCACAGAACTTCCACTGTGAATTTTTTTTTTGCATGCTAAGTAGGAACCCAGGCACAGAGTTTCATCACGACGGGAACATCGTGTGGAGCGCGATCGCATCCCGGGTGACAGAGGTGCTCTGATGTGAGTGGCATTGTCTGCCGCATGCTCTGAAGTAGCCATGATGGTGTGGGGGACACTTTAGGCCTGGCCAATGAGGGCTGAAAGGCTGGGACATGCCGCTAATGACCGGGCC